CGCTATCGTTTGAAAGAGTCACATCAATCACGTCACGGCAAGTCACATCAGGCTAGGACCAGTGAGCACAGAGGAAGTGATTCAGCCGGCCTCTTCCTGCGTGGACATCATCGATCCACTGCACAACCGACCGCAACCTCCAGCCAGCGCTCAGGTTGGTCAACGCCTATCATCTTATTCAGGGAATAAACGACTCAGAGAAATTTGAATATCCACACTATATCAGTGTAAAGGCACATTATTATTTTCAATTTAAAATAGCCTAAATTAAAAAAAATAAAAATAATTTCCTCTTTTTGTTTATCTCGATATCTCTTGTCCCTCGAAAGGTATAACACGGACTTCATTCCCCGATTTGTGTTACTGATATCCTTAAAATATTTCGTTTCCATTATTTATGTATCGGGATGCAAAGTAGACCGCTGCAGATGTTCCAGACGAGACAACCATTTTAGCGATATGACAAGTAGACCAGATCGATGTGACATCCGACGAGAGCCCCTGGACTGGAGGAGATGGAAGGCATGATTTAAATAATGACGGCCGTGGAGGATAAACCAGAGCGGAACATCCTGGATCTTTAGGCAGCCTCTCGGAGCGGGATATGGGAACAATCTCTGGAGTACCGGGCGAAGAATCTTCGGTACCGCTAGTTACCTGCTCAGCAAGGTCGGAGGATCTGCTCTAAAAAACTAAAATAATATGTGCATTGTTCATGCGGTATCATTTTTTCTTTGCAAAAATATCTTATTTCTTATTATATTATCATGTCCAATATACAAAAAATAAGGTTAAAAATATCTTAAAATTTTTCAAAGGTACTTATTTATTTGTATATATTTTTTTTATTTACAGATCTTGTTGAATTTTTATCACGTACACCAGGACAGTAGATAATATAGATAATAGACAGTTGAAGTCTATCTCTGTTTATTTTGAACTACTGCTTTATAGTTATTTTTCGTTTCTGTGTTTTCTAGTTTTCAAGTAATTCATAATTGATTATGAAATTAAATGTTATTTCCAATAAACCTAGTTACATGTTCATTACATTTTTCTTCTTAAATCGATGGTAATTTTATTTTTCACTATAATTTGTATTATCATGTAATTGATCGCAGAGTTTCCAGTCTCTCCCTATGTCAATGATGCATGGGTTCCCTCTCCACCCCATCTTAAGACATTTTTTAACTCTTTTCCACATAAAAAATGTAAGAGAAAGTAGAATTGTAAAAATCGTACATCATATACAATTACACGTCTTTTTTTTTTTTGGATCCTCCCCTTCCTCGCCGTTAAGCCTATACGGGGTTTTCCTGGGCCAGGGGGTGTGGGCGGGGATTTAAAAGACGCCTTTGGCACCGGGACGCGAACTCTTCTGGTTATGTTCAATCGTGAGCTTTTGTTAATGGATGAATTTTAGTGGGAGTTTTCCTGCAGTCCGCTATGCTTGGCAATCTCTTATCATATTAACATCTTATCAGCAAAATGTCACTGTTTGCATGAGGAACACGAACTAGCATATTAATACAAAAATAAGAGGCCAATTTAGATATACAAAACATTCATTCTTGAAATTCGGATGGGCGTTTTCCCACCCTCGGAAGGACTTCCAAACCGATTCAATGGAGCATGGAAAGGATGAAGCAGGTGGCACCCCTGGCCCAGCACAAACTGCTTTGTCTGTGGGCATCCAACCGAAGCCAATTTGTTGGGTACACACCACATCAGGTAGTTGCAAGTTCTGTAATCTTAAATAGCGTTTCATTTGCCCGGATAAGGAACACATGGGTTTAAATCCAATACTATTACATAGGGGGAATGAGTAACAAAATGTCAATACAAACTATTAAGATAATTTTTGACAGACCATTGAACCAGCTTGTGGCTTCGAAAAAAATTCAAGCTTCTGTTGAGAACATTAGTTTACCGGAACCATATCATCAGATTGGAGAATGGCTTCTTCACTTTGAACCATTTAGATCTCTCACGACCGCTTTGGGCTACAACGCTTCGTAGCTTATGTAATCGATAATTACACAATGGACTGATAAAATTGCTTGTTCCTCCTCCTGATCATTCTTCTGATAATGATTGAGATTAAAAATTGTCAACAACAAACAATACATTCCTTTTTAATAAATTCGGCTCAATTTAAATACAAAAATGATGAGTCGAATAAATCAATATTTTTCAGTTTCGAAGGTAATTTTATAAGAATTATGATATGATATAACGAAAAAAATGTACATTTAAAATTATATTAAAATATATAAACTATATGTATGTATAAATATATAATGAATATTTGAAGAATACAAAACAAGAGTACGTAAAAAAAAAATACAAACAGCACAATAAAACATTCTACGAAAAATTGTTAACGCACCTTGGTACATTTCAAATAACATTATACATAACGACTTTAACACCCCAACAGTAAAATCCTACATCCAGGACAAATACACTACATTTCATTCTTCATCTAAAAATCACACCAATCTTCTAGTTCTTTTTATATCCTGTTCCCTGTTACCTGAACGAGGCAGATTAAAAAAGAAATGGCCAAGAGACCTTCTGTATCGATAATAACAAAATCAAGCCAATACACCATAAAAAACATACACACAACAAATTTTCTAGATGCGCTGCTGCGCAGGTGTATATTGCATGAAATATAAATAAATAATAAAACAAATTAAAAACAACAATATTTTGTGACTAATTGTAAACTTAAAATTGTATTCTAGTTAAATTATTAGCTTATCTATTTTTTCCTGACTGCCTGACATACCCAACATTAAAGTCACCGGCGAGGAAAAACAAACACAAGAAAGCAAATATCATCTCATATTTAATAATATAGTATTTGAATTGTTTTTTTAATATTTTTGCATATTTAATATTTAGCGCTCATGATATTGAATAAATCAAACATGATACTTGGCTATTGACTGCTCTTTTATTTATTTCCATATATAAATAAATACATTGATGAATATGAAAAAGTATATAAATAAAAATTAAAATCAATAATCATATTTAATAAAATAGTTTAAAATTATAACTTCAATATTATATCAAAGTTAATAAAAAATGAAATACATAAGGTTTTTTTTTAAATAATATTTTTAAAAATCTGAATAAATAAAAAATATTTTTAAAATGTAGTAATTAAATAAAAGTTTTTTTTTTTATATATCGCATTTATATATACAATATAAATTATTATAAATTAATATAAATTATAAACAATATACTCTTTAAAGGTTTGTATTGTGTACTGTTTACCATACTAATTCTTTCAGGCTATATTATCAACTATGTACAAATAAATTGGAGATGTATCAACAGTAATTTAATTATTATAAGTATAATAAAATTTACTTCAAGTAACATCCAATGTGACATTATTGAAATTTACTAAATAAAAATAACTAATACGATTTGTCTGACTTAAATTGTAATATGTTTTTAAATATTCTTGATTTTTTTCACAGTACAAAAATTAAAAACTTATTACTGGGATATTATAAATATTGTTGGGAAGATAGTAAAAATGAAATCAATATGAAATTTCGACAGAACATATTATTATGACATCAACTTCTAATTTCTACATCCTATTTATATTTGTTTACATTTTATTTTTCTTTATATTTATATTACTAGATATTCTATTTCGTTTCTTTATTGTTTCATTGATAGTTACTTTTTTATTTCATTACTTGGTTCCCGTTATTTTGTCGAAGTCTTTTTTATTACTTTGTCAGCATTTATTTAAAACTCCATTAAAAAATGTTTATATATATCAAGTATTTTCCATTCTTTAATTATTAATTTTATTTCTCATTACGTACATACGTACATATATACTAGTCTAATTTATTGATTTTTTCATGTTTTTATTTACTTTACGATCTGCAGTTAATTATTTCTCCGCCAATACTATAAATAATAATTTAAATGATGAAGTAACTTTTATATAATATTTTTTGAATTGCTATTTAAATGATTTTTTTGTTGATTTATTGTGATAAAAATATTTTGAATGGAGGCTTTAAAAATTTAATATTGTCTTTATTCTTCTTCATTATTGAAGTTGTGTAAGCAATCATTTATTTTAATGAAATGCAAGGTATTTATTTTATGTAATAGGTATTTATGAGATGTGTGAGGAACGTAATAATTGAACAACTGTTGTTTAATAGTTTCTTAATCCTAAATAAATTGTTCATATAATGGGTTTATACTAAATTCAAAAGCTATACTACTATGTAAATATTCTACGTATATTGTTATTTAATTCTTTAGTTATTTTCTCATTCTATTATACAGCATTTCTGTTGTAAATATTCTTGCTGCATTGTTATTTTATTGTTAACCTCTTACCATTGTTATTCATCTTTAGTTTTCTCTTTTATATCCTATTCTATTACTTATTATAGCTTTATTAATTTTAATCTATTTATTTTCTTATTCCATGATTTAAACTATGAAAATGTATATGTATTATATTCCTTGAAGTAACTATGTATTTTAATTCACGTTATGTCGTTGAGATATATATAAGAAATATATATAAATAAGTCCATTGAAGGGATACAGTAATTAGTAAAAATAGAGTTGTTTCGGGGATGAAATTTGCATTAAATGCTTCCGTTATTCTTCATTTATTATGTTTTGATAATTAACCAAACCATTGAGCATTTTTAATACCGAAAATTAAAATCGATACTCTACCAAGTTAGATTTGTCATTTACAGCTTAATAAAATTAAATATGAAATTTAGACGATGGAAATTTTCCTCCGAAATTCGATTTTTTGCTCTAAGCTAAGTAGAAAAATTTGATTATTTGTTCTAATTATTAAATCTATCTTTTTTTTTTTTTTTTTTTTTTTTTTTTTTTTTTTTTTTTTTTTTTTTTTTTTAACATGAATGCACTAAAAATTATCTAAGACAAAATCTGTCCCAAATCAAAATGATTGTTCAACTTACCTGAAAATTCTGTTTGATATCCAGCAACAGAACTAGCTTTGAACAGAAAAACCATACGACGGCACTGGATCGATTCCAAACACTTTGTTACAAACGAAAATCCCAAATCCTGTTGGACGCGATAAGGAACACAGAGAGGTGCGCGGTACTCACTCCACTCTCGACGGTAGCTGAAGGCGGACTGAGCTCGCGCTCGGCCCAGCGGCATCTGCTCTCTTTACCGTATCCACGGTCTATGACCTCATTGGCTCATATTTCTCCAGATCGTATTATTTATATATAAATAATAAATACTATGTGTATTTATTAATATATACATCATTATGTAAATAATTATTTATTTCATAAAAGTGGATTGATGATGTTTATTTTAATTTTTGCCGACGTTCAGGCCTTCATAAGAGCTAAGAAAAGACCAGATAATAAAAGAACCTATTAATTTATAAAAAAATTAAAATAATGTAAGGAACATATGAAAAAAATTATAACAGTAACAGATAGTTTTTTATTGTTTTGTTTTTTCTATTGGTATTACATACCATGTAGATATTCCTACCGGTCTTCGACTATTTCTTTCCATTTATCTGCGCGCAGCTCTATTTCATCTTTGTTGATTTTATCTATCCATCTGCTTTTTCCACGTGATATTTTTTTATTGAGGCATACATTGTTAAGTAAAGGCTTCCAGATGGATTGCTACGAGCTAAAATCCGCCTCTCCCCCATCTTAACCTCAGTGCCTTCATATCATGGGATATTAATTGACCAGTTTCTTTCTTTTGACCATTTCTTAGTACTCTGGTTCCAGATCTTGCTCGAGGATTTTCCTCTCAAATCTTTCAACACTTTTTTCTAGGGTGGCTGGTTAGTGTCCAGGTCTCACAGCCATATATTAGAACTGGCTTTATCATAGCGTTGTACACCCTTAGTTTGAGATTTCTTGAGGTTTTTCGGGATTTCAACACCTTTGAGAAGGAGAAAAAAGCTCTGTTTGCACTGGTTATACGCTGGTCTATTTCTACCTATTGGTCATTCATTGAGGTTATAGTGGAGCAGAGGTATTTGAATTTATAATAGATGGTTATTATATTATTATATAACAGATGGTTATTAGATATGTACCAATGAAAACAAAAAAAATCCTATTATTAGATGGTTGTTATTAGATACATATATATCTAATAACTATCTCTTACCGTTATACATTTTTTCATATATTCCTTTCATTATTATTATTAATATTATGTGTCAGATAAAATATAAATTCTTGTTATATGTTTAGATTCGGTGCCATTTTTTTATGTTTTTGTTTAAAAGGTATCAGGCCATTGGCCATCAATAACATATTTTATTTCTTTATTTGTCAACGTTTCGGTCTCTCGATCTATTTTCAATAATGTGAAAAAATTTTTATTTCAGTTATTTTCTTTTAAACATTTTCTTTTAAGCAGTCTGTTACACACACACAAAACACGCACATGCGCGCGCGCCCACACACACACACACACACACACACACACACACACACACACACACACACATATATAGTCCTTATTCTATATTTGTATTCTATTTAAGACAGCTTTTAATATATAAGATAATAATTTTTTATTATTTTGGGTTAGCATTAATGCAAATAAAATAAAAACATATGTTATTGGTGACCCGTGGCCTAATACCTTTTAAATAAAAAGATATATATAAATTCTTTTTTTCTCAATCAATTTGATTATTTCCCTTTGTAGCTTAACTCCTTTTCTTTTTTTTTATTGCGTAGTTTAATTTATATTTTTACTCTGCAGTCAATCCTTCATATTGCATATATTCGTAACATGATGAACTTTATATTTTTAATAAAAAATCCAAATTACTCAAAAGTTTAAATTTAACAAGGTCATGCTTTAAGACCTAAATCAGTACTATAAAAGAATCAATAACATCAAATAGAAAAAAAAATACTTTAATAGATAATTATGCTTAATATAAGGCTAAGAAAAACAATAAATATTCATTTATTTAAGATGAAAGTGGTGGTAGACATAACAGTGGATGTAGGATTAAATTTTAGAGGACTTTGTTTTTATTATTATTTTTTCCTGTTATTATTTATTATGTAATCAGGAAACTGCTGGAGAGAAGGGGTTAGGACTGATATGATTAATGTTTTAACAGTTTACTATGTCATACAGATTCAGAATAAATGTAGAGACTGAACTGTACACGATTTTGATTACAGGTTGGTGATATGAGTGAAATAAATTGAGAATGTCGGCAGCACAAACACAACCTCTCCTCCCGAGAGACATACTTTTAGGATTGATGAGATAAGAATACGTCCTCTTGAGGTGGACGCCTACTTTGGCATATGGCTCGGAGGGGAATTTAACATGACCTCTCATTTGGATTAATGGAAAAATGTAAGGGCCCAAGTCTAAAAAATCCTTAGTCGCGTATGGATTTGGGTCTTAGCCACGCGTATCCCAACCCCAAGAGAGGTTTTGCTGCGGTTCACCAAGCCGTATTGGACAGTGCTCTTGTGATCACGCAGGTTTTTACAGGAATAGTACTTACTCCTTCAACTAAATAGAAGATGTATTAAAGCATAACAAAGTATAATTTTTTATTTTCTGAATATCTTATTTATTGAAAAATATTACAATCTGTCTCAATGATATTTATAATAGTGTTCTGATATCACATTCACACTCAATAATATATACAATAAATAATAAATTATACAGACAAATAATATGTATACAATAAATAAGAATAAAATAACCTAAAAATAAATAAATCAAAAGAACACATACACACCTATACACAATACAAAGTATAATTAAAGAAAAACATTATCAAGAGTATACAAGAGTATACGACATAAGTGCTGAATTAGCGGGTGACAATTCCGAAAGGGATTACCATGAGGAAGTAGTCAAGTCATGCATTTCAGTGAAATAGTACGTCCCTGTCTAAAGGGTTCCGCAATTTCTTACAGAGCATTTTTTTTCATTAGTTTCTTAGTTCTTCTTAAGTTCTTAGTCGGGGGTTTCTTAAGTTTTATGACTGCTGAGCATACCGTCACCTTGGAAGTTGAACGAGCCAGGTCCCTGAAGGAAACCTATATTTCACTCAGCCGGTGTCTAAACTGCCAAAAATAAAAAAATATTTTGTCCACGGGTGAATAGAAGAAAGAGGCTATGCATTATAAAAAGAAGTTAATAGGCTATTCACGAAAGGACAGTATGGCAGAATACGTTGGGGCGTGGGTCCCAGAATGCCCGGTTCTGAACGTTGTGGTTCAATTAATTTGCTGGGTGGGTTAATTTTCAATTATTGGACGCCCAGGGAAATGAACATTCTCACTCTGCTGAGTACGTGAAGGAAACGTTAGGGTTGGCAAAAAAGACAGTGATAAGGCCCACTTGACGCACTTGTTTTACCAACCGTTGCAGTAGCATGGTATTCACGTAACTTGCGATAAATGCAAAACATTGGCATATATCTTGAGAGAATTGATCACTCGTGTCCTACTAAAGTATTATTAGCTATAATGAGTTGAAACCAAAACTACACTTGTTGTAATTCGTACTTCACTTGTTAATTTTAATTTTTAAGGATTTGTTTATTTATTTATTTTTTTTAATAGACATGAATACTGCTTAAAACATGAAGTATGAAGTAAACCATAAATGTATTAGGAAATTAAAAAAAAAAATTATTCATTCGAACGTCATCAGGTTTTCACTAAGTATGTAAACATGTATCTTTCCCTCCAAGATTGAAGTCGCATAACCTCTCTCTCATCTCATGATGTTTTATTGCTCTCTTCTTTCTAAAAAATGAGCAAGTGAAAGTAGAATTTTAAAAGTCGTAGATTTTTTTTTTTGTCTTCCCCTTTCCTTGCATTTTAGGCTTTACAGGGTTTTCTCGAACCAGAGGGTGAAGGCAGGGAATTAATGCTAGAGTGAAATGTTCTCCACGACACCAGAACGCGAACTATTAATTATTTTATCAAATTGTCAGATTCCTGACTTTTCGAAGATTTTTTTTCGAATCTTATCTTACATTTCATTCCACCTGAAACAAAAGAAGTAAACAGAAGATGAAAACTTCATAATAGCATTCCTTGCAAGTTTACGAAATTAACTCCAACATTAAGGCCGTGTTAAAATGGAGTGTGTTAGCGACCATTATCCCACAATCTTAAATAAGTTTCTCGATTTAACGCATTTGAGAGACTTATAATACTTAGAATTGGTTATACGAATACCTCTAATATATTTCAGATACTGACTTAGTATGTTCATTAGATAATATGTATTATAAGAACTTGATTAAAAATTCAATTGGCTATGAATTACGTTCCGTGAATTTCCATATTTTAAGTATTCTATCTCACTAAATTAAATAGCCCATAGGTATATCGGTTATCTCCATCACGATGACTAAACAGGGACTTGGCCTTTTCCAATGAGCGACGTATATAGACCAAGCTCTACGAGCCGGATCGTGAGTACAGTTGGCTAACCTGTTGCCACATCCTGTACTCCGGCACGGAACAAGATCAAGACGTTGAAGGACATCGAGCCTCCTTAATGGCTGAATGAAGAGGCTCAAGTAGTGTGTCTTAATCTTTAGGATTTAGCACCCGCAGCATATGGTCGGAGGAAAAAAAACAATAAAATAGCTTGTTACATAATACCCTCTTTCTCCTTTTATTTCTTATTACATATAATATTTTTTATTTTTAGGATTCAATTTTATATTCTTTAGAAAGTATTTAATGACTAAACTTTCATAATTCCTATGTCTATACTTCACCTCATCTTACGTTTCGATTCAAGATTGCAACATCCATTATGAAACAATTATATTTTTTAATTTTGCTTGTTCATTAAATATATATTTTTTTTTTATTAACTATAAAAGTTTATTTGGTATCTTTACTCTTTAAAAATGTTATTTAAGTTTAAAAAAATATATTAAAGTTGCTCTAAATTTTATCATATTTATTTATCAATTTTATGGACTAAATATTATCATATTTTATGTGTATATTTTCAAATTATAAACCAAATTATGGAATGTTAGTAAAGTATAGAATTCGTTTGCTTTACTTTACTTTTAATCAACACTTCATGTTATTTGTTACGTTTACTTAATTTTATTTCTTTATTTTTTTACGTCACTTTT